CCCCTAGGTTTAAGAGGCCAGTTTTCTGCCCCTCTTGGGTCACAGCCTGCTTTCCTGTCCCCACCAGTCCCGCAGTCCAAGCTCAGCATAGCAGAACACCGCTAAGGAAGCGAAACTGTCACTGGGGCGCTCGGTGCTCTATCTCCCCCTCGTGGCCAGAGGGGACCTGAATGGAAAAATAAACCTTGAAAATTTTACTGGAAAAGTGCTGGAGATGCTTCATGTGTGTCCCTCTCCCCACCACACACACTGTCGCTTTTCTCCTCTGTGCGTGGCCCTGGGAGGCTGACCTGACCTGTGCAGACTCCATCCATGAGTATCCCTGGCCTGCACTTCCTGTTGGGCCCTGCTGATTAGAGACCCAGCCCAGAATCCCAGGGGGAATTGTCTGGTCCTCCTCCACCTGCCAGCCCCTCTCAAAACTGTCGCTGTTGGGGACATAAATGCTACTCATTGCACTCTTCAGATAGCTGTCTTTTTACTGCCAGTAGCAGGACTGAATCACAGCCTAAGTTTAGGAGCAGCCCAGGAGGGAAGGGGATCCTAAATCCACAACATGCTTTAAGACTTGGTGAGGTTTTGTTTTGTTTGTTTTTGTGGTACTGGGGATCGAACTCCGGACCTTGTACTTGCAAGGCAGGTGGCAGAACCACTGAGCTAACTCCCTGGCCTCCCTGGCCCTTGTTTGTTTTGTTTTGTTTTGTACTGGGGATTGAACCCAGGGTTCAATCTTCACACTGAGTTATAGCCCTAGCTCCTTTCATTTTTAAAAAATTTGAAACAGGGTCTTTCTAAATCACTAAGTTGCCTGGGATGGGCTCAAATTTGAACCCCTCCTGCCTCAGCCTCCCAGAGGGCTAGGATTACAAGTGTGCAGCACCTGGCCCTGTTTCAGGATTGCTCCTTAGAGGAGTTTGGGCTGATCACTGGGCTGCTGGGAGGGTGTGTGCAGCTGGTCTTGTAGCGATTAGGATTTACACATGTTGGATTATCACAACACTTCTTTGGAGCTGTCCTTAACTGTGTCCATATAGCCAGGTTCCTGTGTCCTTTAACCCTCACTTCCTGTATCCCTCAAGATCCCTGCAAGGAAGGGAGTAATGTGGTTCAGAGAGGTGAAGTCACCTGTCCCAGGCCACACAGCAAATGATTATAATAGCTCCCTTTTCTGTTTGTCTTGTGTGAACTGTATGACTTCATTAAGTTCCAGAACAGGCAAAATTAATCTCTGGTGGAAAAAAATATCGGTGCTGAGCATGGTTCACCCCTGTAATCCCAGCACTCTGAGGAGGCTGAGGCATGATTTTGAGGTCAGTCTGGGCTACATAGTGAGTTCAAGGTGATTCTAAACTAAATAGCGACACCTGTTTCAACCCCCCCCCAATATAAAAAAGAAGAAAACAAATGAAGAATGGAGTTGTGACCAGGGGTGAAATAGGGTATGTTGCCTAAAACAGGGCAGAGAACAGTGCTCAGGAGGGTGGGGCCTGTCTGGTCCTGACTTGTGTGTTTAGTCGTGTGGGTTACCCATCTGTCAGGCAGGACTCACTGTACTGAGTGAAGCCCAGGGACATGATGGGGAATGTTGGGCCACAGAGTGACCACTTTCACAGGTCTTGTTTTGGTTTTGGTACTGAGGATAGAACCAGGTGCTCTGTACACTGAGCTACATTCCCAGCACTTTTTTTTTTTTTTTTTTCTTTTTTGTGGTGGTTGTGGTACTGGGGATTGAATCGAAGGCCTTCACACTGAGCAGAGCTAAATCCCCAGCCCTCAGCACTTTTAAATATTTATTTATTTATTTATTTATTTATTTATTTATTTATTTATTTATTTATTTATATTTGGTACCAGGGATCAAACTCAGGACCTTGTACTTGCAAGGTTGGCAGTGGCAACACTGAGCTAAATCCCTGGCCCTAAATATTTAAATTAAAATAAATTTTTTGAGACAAGGTTTTACTAAATTGCCAGGCTGGCCTTGAACTTGTGATCTTCCTGCCTCAGCCTCCCAAGAAGCTGGGATTAAACTACCACATTCCGATCGTTCCCAGATTTGATAGCACAAACACTATAAAATAACATCCCTATGATAAAGGACCATGACAAACTGCTTTGACTGTAGAGGAAACTGAGGCAGGGAGGTCACTGCACTAAGTTTTGGCCAGGGCGCTGGCTGCAACTGTGTGCCCCAGGGCTCCTTGGGGGGGTCCTGACCTCGGAGCTGGGGATTTGTTCTCTCCCTGGGCGCGGTGTGGGAAGGGTCTTGCAAGTTAATGACCAGAAGCTGAAAGACTAGAGCCTGGGGCACCTGAGGAAAGAGTTGGCAGCAGGGGGAGGGTCCGTGCCGCCCCCCCCCGCCGCACTGATGGAGGTGTGTGGTTGAAAGGAGGGAGGGCTTTCAAAAGGTTAATGAGAGTCAGGCATGGGGGCGACTGTCATCCCAGCACTGGGGAGGCTGAGGCAGGAGGATCGCACCTGGGTTCAAGGCCAGCCTGGGCTCCATAGTGAAACCTTTTCTCAAAAAAACCAAAAAGGGAGGGGGACATGAGGTG